ATAGTAATTAACGAAAAACCAATGGCGTCTTCGACAACAATTCAAACACTCCGTAGAATAATAATTTATAATTAATTAATTAGGGACAAAATTATATCGAAAAATATATTGGAAAGTTCTTGAAGGATCTGCCTTTCCGATGCAATTATAAAAGTTCATAAATTAATCGCAGGAATTGAGTAATTAATTAATCTTCCAATAAAAATTCAAAAAGAAACAGTCAGCGCTACCTATAGTCGTGCACTGGAACTAACGGAGCAGTTCCAGATAAAAATCATAGATGGCGCTGACTGTTCCTTTTTGAATTTTTATTAGAAAATTAATTAATTACTCAATTCCTGCGATTAATTTATGAACTTTTATAATTGCATCGTAAAGGCAGATCCTTCAAGAACTTTCCAATATATTTTTCGATATAATTTTGTCTTTAATTAATTATAAATTATTGTTCTACGGAGTGTTTGAATTGTTGTCGAAGACGCCATTGGTTTTTCATTAATTACTATTCTTTACGCAATTAATTTATGAATCTTTATGCACTCATTAAAAAAACAATGTTCTTCCGAATCTTCTCATATAACTTTTGATCATATTTTGCTTCTAGTTTCGTTTAGTATTAAATATTTTCACGGAAGATCGTGATGGTCGCCGTTATGAAATCATAGACGCTATCGAACAAAAATTAATAATTAACAATTTGGAATTAAATTCTTTACGAAAATTATATAAGAATGTAGCCTGAAGTTCTAGCTTCCGAATGAAATTATAAAAGTTCATAAATTAATTACAGAAATTGTGTAATTAATTAATTTTTCACTGGCGGAGCCCTTCTATCCTTTTCTATTCCCTCTCTGTCCTTGTCTGCCACGTGTCAGCTCTTCGACAACCTCCATGCCTATACTATATTCCTATTACTATCTTGATTTTTGAGCTCAAATCATAGATGGCGCTGATCGCAGGCAGTCAAATTTTTATTCGAACTAAATACCACTTCTGGTTAGGCGCTAATAATACACCTTAAGAAATCAATTCGGCAGTAGAAAATTAATAAATTTCCAAGTTATTGTAACTAATTC